CCAAAAAGCCAGTACAACCAAAGTACGGAGCTRTCTGTGGAGACTTTCAGATAAATCTTTTATCTTCTGAGTCCTGGTCTGATGGCTTGACCAAGAGATGGATAATGCCTTTTGGGTCTTGCTCTGCCCACTGGTRAACATATGCCACTGGTTCCTACTGTGTACCTTTAATATGAATATTTTGTTCTGTTTCCCTCAAGAGTTTCAGAAAATCTACAACTGTTTGGATGTCACAATCATAGAGAGAGGGGAATCCTTCTACCATGAGATGATGAAAGACATTGTGAAAGAATTTGAAGATAAAGGTGAGGCTTTTGTTTTCAGGTCAGAAGTTCTGCATCTGAGAGGATGAGCCTGGTAACCTCAATCTTACTTAGCAAGGCTTAGGGCTGATGTTTTTCAAGTTGCATGTTCCTCACCTTTGCCTTTTTCTCAACCACATTTCCTCAGTGGATCTTTTGTGCCTTTTCCTTATTCCAGAAAGCCTGAATCTTTCTTGCTGACATCAAAAGCAGTTTGTCTGTGATACTTGTAGGCAGTAGCACAAGGCACTACTGGAATTTATGGTATCCTGAGTAAACACTCCAGGAGCAATACAGGACMGACTTCCCAGTCTTAGTGTTGTGACTGTGTGGGAACTTTGTCTGAGAAATCTCTCTRAAAACAGTGGATTTTTTTGGATCATGTTGACTTTATCTTACATTTGGCAAGAAGCCAAATGCAGCATAAAACGTCTCTGGTTTTATGTGCTCCTGTCCAGATTTGGGAGTTCTTGAGTCTCACCATCTGAAGTGTGCTGACTGCCTTACCTCAGAGAGACTCCATGCAAAGTCCTCATTGTATCTCCACAGAGTTTCTGTTGCATTAAGCCATATTTTGTGATGGGTTTGTGGCTATATGGGCAGATCTGGAAATCAGTGGTGRGAGTTTTGGAATAAGTTCTCTTCTGGTAAGGCCACATTTGTTCAGATCTGCTTCCTTGTGCACAGTTCTGGAAGTGCTGTACAGAATGTGGCTTGATTGGTTGACAGGGGAGTTCTCAAGTAGGTTTTTTTCATATTTTGATCATATGAGTGTATGGCCTCTTCTTCCTGGTAACAGCAGAGAAAGGAAGTCTTGCTGGGCCAGAAACCTCCCTTGTGATCCAACACAGAATGTTGTTCACTGCTTTTCTAGGATTTGTCCAGGTTGATGATGGCAGGAAGATTGTGTTTGTCCCGGGTTTCCCCGTCCCGCTGACAATCATGAAATCAGAYGGAGGTTACACGTATGACACATCAGACTTGGCTGCTCTGAAGCACAGGCTGTTTGAAGAGAAGGGTGATATCCTCATCTACGTTGTGGATAGTGGCCAGGTGAGTTCACCAGGCTCTGCTCTAACTGTTGGTGTAGGCCATCACTAAGTGTGTTAAATGATGGAATAACAGTAATACAGGTAGAACACGACAGGGTCTTTAGTGTGATTGGTACATTTACTCCTTAGCTGAGCAGTGATGGGAATTTGCCAGGTGCTGCTTCTGCAAAGCTGGAAAACTCTTGGAAAGGTTGAACTTTCTGAAACAGAATTTGTCCGTGAAGATAAAAACATTTGAAGTCTTACTGTGAGAGCATCATTGTGAATACGATAAAGCTGTGAAGAAACTGCACCTGGAAGAGTGGGTTGAGAACCAGTTGTTGGTGTTTATTCCTTGCAGTCCGTGCATTTCCAAACAATCTTTGCAGCTGGACAGATGATTGGCTGGTATGACCCCAAAGTCACCAGAGTGGCCCATGCTGCCTTCGGAGTGGTGCTGGGAGAAGACAAGTAAGTATTTGTGTGTGGTTTTACCTCTGTATGTGCCTTGGAGAGAAAGTTTGTGTGAATGCAGGAGACTTGCTCTCATTTGTTGACAAGTATGTATGTGGCACACCAAAAAAAAAAAAACAAAAAAAAACACAAAGCACTGCATCCTGTTACCTGTAATTGGTCATTTTGTTCTGTGTCATTGTCCTTGATCCACGCAGTCACTGGTGCAGTGGTCACAGTCCCTCTCGGGCCTGGCTCCTCCTGTCTGGCATTTGGGATGGGGCACTGGGATTGGCTGGTGGAAGYTCGTGTGGGTACTGGGATGTGGCAGTGGTAAAGGCCACCTTTTTAATTACCATTACCTCTTCATGGTAGGTGAAACAAAAGTTAGGAAAAGTCTGGCACTGGTATTATCCTACCTAGTGTCTGGAACTGGACAGTTCTGACTATTGAATCCTTCCTGGCCATTCCTGCTGACCACCCTGTGGGTGTTCTCTCAGTTTTGTAGCTGTCTGTGTGATGGCAATTTCTTAATACCAAAGGATTTGTCACATGCTTTTTTTCCTAAGTTTCCTGGGCATTAGGCAGAGGGTGGAAGTGGTTTGCCTCTTCTCCAGGTTGTCATTTTGGCTGTRTGTTTTCAGGAAGAAGTTCAAAACTCGTTCAGGGGACACGGTGCGTCTCATAGACCTGCTGGAGGAAGGGCTGAAACGAGCCATGGACAAGCTGAAAGACAAGGAACGGGACAAGGTAGTTGKGACACATTGCTTGTTTTTCCTGAGAACTTCCCAGATGTGTTCACAGACTTAYGGTCTCTGCATGGCTTTATGAGATTTGTGTCTGTCTTGTCTCTTGATGGCCTGGAGAGAACTGGACAGAGCAGGACATGGAATGTAACAGAATGACCAAACTCTGTCCAAGCACAGTGTGAGGCAGTGCAGGGTGAAAGTGAAAAGTCCCTTTTTAAACAGCAGCATTAGGAAACACAGGAGGAAAATACACTTTGAAAATCTCTCAAGGGCTCTTAGGAGTYAGCCACAAAGTGCTTTTCCCTGCTGCCAGGGTGCTGTTCAGCAGAGAGGGGTTTGTGGGTGTTTGGACTGTCCAAAATGCTCCATAAGGGTAGGAGGACCAGACATCAGTTATGTATACACACTGTAAGCAGGAACACACAGCCCATCACACCTGGCAGGTACAGTGTGGGGCACAGAGGTCCTGTGGGCTGTCAGAAGAGGGAGTCAGCCCTAACCTGAGCAGGGCTGCAGTGCCAGTGGGCTGCAGGAGGAACGAGGGGTGTGTGAGGTTGTTTGGTGTGCTAAAGCAGAGAGGAGTGTGTGAACTGAGCACCAGCTGGATAAATCCCCTCAGCAGCCTGGGCTTTCCCAGGGCTGTGTGTGTGCTTCCTTCTTCCTCTTGACTGTTGCCTGTTTGCAAATTGCACCAGGTCCTGACGCCAGAAGAGCTGAAAGCTGCCCAGACATCGGTGGCTTTCGGATGCATTAAATACGCAGACCTGTCCCACAACAGACTGAACGATTACGTGTTCTCCTTTGACAAGATGCTGGATGACCGAGGGAACACAGCCGCCTATTTGCTCTACGCCTTCACACGGATCAGGTGTGTGAGCTGGAGGGAGCTGTGCTGTCAGTGCTGGTGCTCTCTGCATTTATGTCATAAAGTGACATGTGGGCAGAGGGGTCACAGTCACATCAGTGCTGTTGGGGGTGGGTGGTAAGAGAAGCCAGCTACACTRGTAGGCACCACAAACAAGATTTTATTTGTCATTGCACATGGTGTGTCCTCTGCCACCTGAAAAGGCTCCTCAGTGTGACACACAGCCCAGCGAGAGAACTGTGGGAGTTTCTGGTAATCAGAGGATTTAGGTGGTTGAAAGAGGGTGCATCTGTGTTCCAGCAGCTGCACAGCTCAGGTATTGCCATACCCCCCAGTTTTTCTGGCACCCTGAGTCTGATTTGCAGCATCAGTTGTCCTTGCTGATGCAGGTGCCCAGAGCCCATGTGTCCCTGTTCCTCTGCAGTGCCCTTCCTGGATTACCCCAAAGGCTCATTGTCCTCTTTGGTCACCCAGGACTGGCCAAGGGAGGACATCACCCCTGAGCCAGGCCAAGCAGGTGACCAGGCTGCCCTGGGCAGGCTGAGCAGTGGCACCACACAAGCAGACTCTGTTTKGGACATTGCAGGGCTATTGCTCGCCTGGCCAATATTGATGAGCAGATGCTGCGGAAGGCAGCCAGGGAGGAGGTGCTTGTCCTTGACCATGAGAAGGAGTGGAAACTGGGCAAGTGCATCCTGAGGTTTCCTGAGATCCTGCAGAAGATCCTGGAGGATTTGTTATTGCACACGCTCTGTGACTACCTGTATGAGCTGGCCACAACCTTCACYGAGTTCTACGACAGCTGCTACTGCGTTGAGAAGGACAGGCAGACTGGTGAGTGTGGCCCTGGGGTGCTGTGTGTGCCTGTGTCACATCCTGTGGTGCAGGCACTCTTCAGGTGTGTTGGAAATGTTGCTGTCACACCACTGTATCCATGTGGGAGGACTGACACAACCTGGCACAGCTCGTGCTGTTACTGAGCAGGAAGGCTGAGCAGAATTGGGAGCAGCCAGGCACCTGGAAACATGAGGGCTGGTCAATGTGCCTGGCTTGCTTGGGGACAGCAGGRAGGGCTCTGTGTGCCAGGGCCAGGCTGTGGGCACTGGGGCTTCCCCTGGGGAGGGTACTGTTGTTCTGAGCGGCTGCTCCAGCTCCTGTGTCTGTGCTTTCCAGGCCAGATCGTGAAGGTGAACATGTGGAGGCTGCTGCTGTGCGAAGCCACTGCCACCGTCATGGCCAAAGGATTCGACATCCTGGGGATTAAGCCTGTGCAGAGGATGTAGCGGTTCCCTGTGGAATGACAATAAAGGGACTAAACAACTGGAGTTGTCTGTGTCTGTTGGGGGATTGTGGTAAGGGAAAGAAAAGTAGAGGGGGAGGGAGGAGAGAAAAGGAGTGTGGCTTCAGCAGTGCGGGTAGAGAGGCAGAGGAGTGGCTGTGAGCACAGCTCAGAGGAATTCTCGGTGTGGGAACCAAAGGTCATCAACTGAGAACACCCAAGGGTACCTCCAGGAAACCCTCCAGCCACAGTACAGCCCCCAACACTGCCAGAGCCAACCATACTGTGATCCATGCACTTTACCTTACGTGCCAGGCATGAGCAGGTCACCCGGCCTTCGATGTCACCTCTGGTGGTGTGGGGCAGCAGGCAGCAGTTTCACCTGGAGGAGCAGCAAGTCCGGAGAGGAGCAGATCAGTTAAACTACATTCCCTCTGAGGAAAACACAAGGCAAATGTCTTTCCCCTCAGCAGCAATGGTTTGAATCCCTATGGAGTTTGGCAAACCTCTCTGTGTGGTGCATATCAATATTGGGCAGCTACAAGGAGCCACAGCTGCCTTTGCCTTGGGGCTTGCTGGAGACTCTACTCTGTGAGCCTCCTAAAAATTRCAGAGTCCTAAAGCAGCATGGAAATGCAGCTGTGTTGGAGAGCAGCTGTTGCATTGATTCAGGTGCTCAGTGACACACGTGTGTCACATGGTGTGTATACATATGTACATATGTATCTATATATATAAATCTATATATAGATCCAAGAGATCTGTGTCAGGGTCTGCCCTGTRCAGAGAGCTGGGGAGGGCTCAGCTCTCCTGGCTGGTCAGTGTCCAGCACCCCACATGGTGGGCCCCAGCTGGCACCTCACCAAGCACAGACCTGTGCAAATGCTGTCTTGGTGGCTGAGCTCTGCCCACAAACACAKCCAGCCTGGTGGCGGTGCCACCGTGACAGCAGCGTGACAGCCCCATGTGCCGTGTGTCTGGCACCGGTGCCACTCTGACAGCCCCGTGTGCCTGGCACTGGTGCCACCGTGACAGCAGTGTGACATCCCTGTGTGCCGGGCACTGCAGCAGCTGCCCCGGCCGTGGGCTGTGCTCCCTGACCCCTCTGCGCCCATGCCCATACCACAGCCGTGCTCCCCCGGGCAGTGCCTCTCCAGCCAGGCCCATCCCGCCCTACCTGGGCCATGCTGGCAGCCTGGGGGTGGCAGTGGTGACCAATGAGCGGGTCCTGCTGGCGGGGTCACRCTCCAGTTCCGTGGCAGAAGCAGCRGCAGCCATGGTCCAGCGGTGGCCACAGTGCCCAGTCCAGTCTGGGCCCAGAGCATGGACATGGGGGTGTGTCCAGGCACAGGCACGGCCGAGGCTGCCACACTGAGCTGTGGCCTCCAGCAGAAGGGGGACAGCACCTCCAGGCCATCCCTGAGTCTCAGCACCAAATGCCTCCCCTGGCAGGGTGGGGGTCACACCAGCAGGACCCCACAGCTCAGGGCTGGGGTCAGCAGTGGTCACAGCAGGGCTGTGTGGAATGTCCACGTGTCCAAGGGGCAGCTCAGAGTCCCCATGGGGCTATTCCAGGGGCTGTGCAGCCAGGAACAGGGCCAGCTGCCACGCTGTCAGGACTGACCACAGGGTATGGGGCAGGCAGCAGTGTCAGGGCACCCCAAGGGCCGCAGAGCTGGGCACAGGGGTTCAGGGCACTGCTCAGGAAACAGGCCCGTGGCTGGGCTGGGGGTGGAGAGSGTCACTTAGGAGCCCTGTCTGGSCTGGAGACTGATGCCATACAGGGASCAGACTCTGGGAACCCCAGCTGTCCTGGGGAGGGGGTCACTCAGAAGCCATGGGGCAGCCATGGGTCAGTGCAAGGGAGCCATGGGACAGCGGCCTTGCCCACATCAGGAGCAGGAGCAGAGCGTGAGGCCTGAGCTGGCTGCTGGAGTGCAGASAGCACCCCTGAGGGAAACAGGCCATGTGTCAAGGGGGACAATAGGGCTACCAGGGTGATTGTCCCTTCCCACAGCACCAGAGCTGGGCCACAGATGGCAGCCAGGGTCAGCCAGGAGCAAAGATCATCAGACACATCCATGGCGATGAGGTCCGAAGTGGAGCCAGAAAGGTGAGTCAGCAAGGGAGCTCGGGATCAGGTCCAGGGWCAGCAACCAGGGTCAGCCACAGCTGGGGTTCACAGGCAAGTCCATAATGACGGGCAAAGGCCACGGTCAGGCCGGGAAGTCAGTCTGTGGGCCAAGGTCCAGGTTCAGATTACTGGGCTCTGTGGCCAKGCACAGCCATGGCTGCTGCTCTGGCCAGGCTCCAGCAGCAAAATTCCAGCCCACCCTCTAGCAGGGATGGCCAGAGCCTCCCTGCCCGGCCACAGGGCAGCCACTGCCCCACAGGGGCTCTCTGAGCTGGCCCCAAGGCAGCCATGGAGTCAGAGCCCACCATCGCAGGGATGGAGGGGGAATGGAGGAGTGCTGGCACAGCCCCTACAAACTGCAGTGYAAAACTGCTGTGACACTCTGGTGGCATCAGCAGGACTCCATCTGTCACAGGCTCAGAGAGCAGCTGGGCTGGCAGGAACCYCTGCAGGGCAATGCTGTTCTGACCCTGCCACCCACCCTGGGCAGCTCTCGCCTGGTGACAGTGAGTGACGTACCTGGAAGAGCCTGTTGCACTCCATGATCATGTGGGCCAAGCCCTGCGTCGCTGCCAGGTTCTCACTCAGCTCCCGCTGGTCTGGCTTGCCAAGGCTGCACTTCCTCTGACTGGACCTGGGAGTGGGGAAGGTGAAAGGAAGGCTGAGTGAGCCAAGTGTTGGGAACCACTCCTAAAACACSCTGGAGGACCTGCCTGGGCCATGCAGGGGCTCATGTGTTACTGCACAAGGTCCCCAGRGAGAGAGAGCTCCCTCCCTGCACATCCCAAAGGGCTCCTGGGTGCTACTGWCCAGCACTAATGGACACCCAAGAAAGGCATGGCAGGGAATTTACTCCTCAAACACATCATCACACACTTGGCCAAGGACAACAATGACCCCCAAACTTATTTGTGTGTGACCTTCAATATCAAGCTCCTTTGACACCTGCAAAGCCCAAGCAGAACATTTTAAATCGTTTGGCCCAAACCACACCAAACACATTTCAAAAACAGTCCCCTCTTTTAATTCATAGTCATGCTATGACATCATTATTCCTGGCTTCTGAAACTTTAATCYGTGTGCATTCCTGCCAAATGGCTTGAAAATTGGGTGGAAGATAACAGTCCTGAGCACTGCTCCTCGGAGTCAGACCTGTCAGCTYGCACCCTTTGAAGTGGGAGCCCTGCACCAAGGCATTAATGCACAGTTACAGCAGAGCTAAAGCTTCAAAGCATCCTGCCTTCCAATCGCTGACAACAAAGAGAAAACTCCATTGCTGTCTTTGGTCCTGGCATTTCAGAGCAGTGCTGATTTAAAGCAAAAAGGTCCAACTCCCAGAGTGCAGCCCCCAGGAGCTCAAACAGCCCAGCAATCCAGCAGGACCCGCTGCCGCCCCATCGCATCCCGGGTGCCCCCGCAGTGGCCCTGTGGCTCCCTTGCCGTGTGCCAGCGCAGCACAGGGATGCCTGAGGCACCTTCTCATGTTTTGTGACATGCAAAAGACAATCCTTGGTGTTTTCTTTCCTTTCCTCTGTKCTATCCAGAGCCTGAAAGATGCCAACAGCACATCTGACAGCTCCTCTTTGGGACTAGTCGTGCCCTGCCAATCCCCCAATGAGGTGTTCATCTCTCGGTGCTGTCGGGAGCAGTGTGCTTCCCCCCCAGCCCTGATCCATCCATCCACAGCCCAGGAGCACCAGCAGAGCAAGCAGCCCTGCCTCAGGAGGCAGATAAGGCATGAATGCTCTCAGAGATTATTTGTCTACTTTGGCCCAAGGGCACCTTCCTCCCTGCACGTACAAACAGGGGGTGTTATGCAACCCAGATACTTCTTATGAAGATAAATTTTCAGAATCCCTGTGGCTTGATTTGGCAGGAATGAGGCCYTTATCACCCAGCAGAAGCAGTGCCAGTAGCTGCTTCAATCCACCGGGTGTCTGCAGGGTCCTGAAGCCACAGCTGGGCCCAAGTGGCCAGTGCAGGAGCACATTTCCAATGGCCAGCACCACTTTAACGCAAGCAGTGGGCCACCTGCTGTGCTCCTGGGCAACCAGGGGAGTGCAGCAGTGTTGAGGGACACACACAGACTGGAGAGGAGCATGGCAATGGGCCTTGGCCCTCTGCACTGGGCACTGAGCGGCCATGCACTGCAGGCAGCTCCTGCTGCACCCAATTTAAGGCAAGCCCCAAGGCACACACACTCCATTTCCCYTCAAAACCTGACACTGAGCCTTGGCCAGCTACACAAAGCATTGCTGCAGCAAGGGGCACTGTGGACAGCAGCAGTGCCAATACCTGGTTGAGGAAGAGGAGCTGTCCCTCCTCAGGGTGTTGAGGTGAAACAAAGAAGGCGCAAGACAGACAGCAATGTTGGTTGGGGTCATTTGGTTTTCTTCAACAAAAGCCACCACATCTCGCAGGAAGAACAGGAGGATTTTCAGAGCTTCTCGGTTTTCCTTTGGAAGAAGGAGAATGGCAGCCTGGACAGCCTGAAATTGCTGGTCCTTCGGCATGTCTGAGAACAGAAACAACGATAAAAATCACACATGACTTGCACAAGGAGCATCCATCAGCAGGGCACTGAGCTCCAGGTTCATCCATTTCCTTGTCCCAAGCCCAGAGCAGACAAGGAAAGGCCATTATCCCATCAAACAGGCTCCATCTCTCCCACTGCCTGTCAAGTGCATGTTCACACCCAGGGCTGCTGCTGCCTGACTCGCAATTCATCTTGAGCACCACGCTAATGAACTTACCCTGAGCTGAGTTAAAACCCAAATCAGGGCCTGTCTCCCCATMAAACATTACTCTGCAGTGACACTTTGGAGCTGCTGCTCTGTCTTTTCCTTTCAGCTTCACACACAAAGGGAACAGATGCTCTCAGGTATCTCAATTCAGAGGCCAGTGTTTTGCCAACAGATTTTAATCCATGCTAACCCCCAGTGAGACTGTCTGCCCAAAGAGCTCCTGCAGGAGACTGGGTCTGGCTCATCCTGCCACACACCCCCAACACAAGGATTTCTCCAATTAACACCACTGCAAAGGGTGGAAGATCACTTCTCCTTCCCTTCAAGTAGAAGCACATATACAGAACACAAAAAAACACACTCCTTGGTGAAAGCAGCACCCTTCTTATCTCCAGAAGAGTAATTTAATCTGTGCACTGGCTCCAGTCACATCTGGCAGAAGAATGAGTAGGGTGAACAGAACTTGGGCATTTTCTGTTTCTCCCCCAAAACAGAGACAGGAGGTGGAGAGTGGCCAGATTACAGTAAATGGAGGAAAAGAGTTACACATTCTTTGGACATTGGAATTGTGAACCTCCTTACAAATGAGAATTTGTGAATGCAAAAAGAAAACTTGCTTCGAACAAATAAATCATTTTCAGAAAAARATTTAAAACACTGACAGRTGAGAAAATAARAYCCAACCAGATTTTAATGAACCCACACSATACACAGGACAGCAGCTACTCCTTGACTTATGTCAGTAGAAGTCAYACAGCTTAGGTTGCAAAGCCAGTCCTCTCAGAAAGCTCATTCTTTRCCATTTAAAATCTTTTCTCAACAGCAGAAGAAACTTGTCAATCCCAACAACATTATTAGCCCTACTTCAAGTTCCTTCCCCAACCCATCTGCTTTTAGAAAGTGAATTCCTTGGGGGCAAAGTACTGGAGATAGAATCCATTTAAACTGTATTAAATGCAAGATTTCAGCTTCATGTTTCCTTGTTTTTTTGGGTTGAGTCTCAAGGACAATACCAGTGTGAGCACAGGCAGAAAGCTGCTGGTGTTTCCCAGCTGTTTCACAGCAGCTGTTCTTGGGCACCTTAATGAAGAAATCCCATAATATAACAGGACTTGTTGCTCAAGGAGCTACACCATGCCACGAACAAGGGCACCAGGTTATTTCTTCATTTTGCAAAAGGAAATGCCTGTTTAAAAGCACACTTAAAGAGGGTTGCTGCAGCATTTTGTTACACTCATCCTTCAAGGAAGGAAACAGCTGGTTCATGGGTGCAGATGGGAAACTCTCAGCTCCAGACCATCTGACTCACCTTGTCAGAATTGTCCTCCTGACTCAACTCCTGTGACTACAGGGGGACATGGCACTGGCCACTGCCTTGTACAGCTGAATATTGAGCTACCCAAGGCATTGGAAAATGACAGCTTTGGTACCTACATTGGTAGATGTGGAGGAAGGATTCACAGAGCCTGCTGGTGAATATAGGCTCGGGAAGGTCTCGGAAGTACTGCTTCACCATATCTGCCACATCAAATGCTGACTGCCCTTCGTAACAGACRTTGTTTGGGCTGGTTTCATTCATTTCTCTTAAAGACAGAATCCTGGATTTAACRCCGGATTTTCGGAACAGGCCAACCTATGGGTAAAAGAAATTATTAGAGACAAAGAGAGGAGTCATTGGGAATGGAACTTCACAAATAAGTGATCCTTCCCCTTCCTTGTGATAGCAAATACCCCGTGATGGCAGTGGGATCTAACACCAAAATACTTTTGCATCATTAGAAGTTGCATGGATGTTTCTCCAAGGCAAACCATGCCTGATGCCCACAGAGGCAGCAGTGACATACCAATTTTAATGTTTGTTTGGTTTTTATACAATGCAAAAGTTCTCATTTTGCCTTTTAAAATCACTTCTGTTGACATCTGTCCATTTTCTCAGGCAGGCTGTGTTTACCAAACACAAACATACAATGAGTGCTGGCTCACACAAACTGTGAGATCCACACCTGATACACTTGACATGTCTAATCCATCCACAGGTTGGCAACAGGCAGTTCCCATTTTGAGAGAAATTAGGATTTTCTTTTTAATATGATTGTCAATTAAGTTTCAGACAAAAGCAAGCTTTAGGAGTTTCCCATGAGCTCGACCCCACCAAAGTTTCTGCTGACAGATTTGTTCTGTGCCACTGAGACAGTATTTACATACTTTGGTTTATTCATATGAATTGAATCGATAGCATAACCTCAAAATGAAACACGTTTGCATTGTCACTTCATGGGACTCACACACTTTTGCACTTTAGTGTGATATTACACACCTAGACAATGGCAAAGCACAGGAAAAGAGTCCTCTCTTTAACAAACATGTCTCACATCACAGAGTCTACCATTTCTGCAGCTATGCTATGGAAATACCATATGCAGCACACAGTCCCACTGCCAGCTCCACTCAGGGGATAAATACACAGCTGAGACCCAGAAAAAGTTGTTACAGGCACTGCTGCAATGCTTCCTCTCTGCTTAGCARTGCATTTCAGCTGAAACAAGATTAATTTGCACATTAGCTCTGGCACTACCAGCAGCACAGAGCAGAGGGAACAATGACATCGTGTGGCAGATTTGCCTCCTTAGGGAGCAGAGACATGACACTGCCCCAGGAAAGGACAGCCTGACTGCCTGCACCAGGAGAACCGACTGCAGAGGGGTTCAGTGAGGCCAGGYACAGAAATACAGCTCAGGGCTGAAGGTATTCCCTGAAGGAATCAGCACTGCTATTTCCTCACAGGCTGCCTGCTCACACCTACACCTATTCAGAGCCTTAGGGGGCAAGAAAGTCCTTTACAAAGTTCGAGTCTGGTTCCCTGGAGCAGATCTGTTCATGGCCCAGAGCTGCTCTGGGCTGCCTGGAGCTCCTACCTGGTCAAGAAAGTGGCTTCTCAGATAGTCCAGGGCTTGCAGGATGCCATTGGGCAGGGGGTGGCTCGTTCGCTGCACRTTCAGGAGTAAAGGAACCCCAAACACATTTTTGTCCTTGTARTCTGAGGCTTTTGGTTTTTTAATGAACTTTGGTACGGTCCTGGAAACAAAAACCAGCACAGGCAGCTTACTGGGTGTCCAGCACATTCCATCTGCTGCTTGACACTCATCAGAAAGGGTTTGGCTGTACCTTGTCACAGCCCCAAATTCTGCCATGTACCTGTACACACTGCATCAGGAGGGAGACAAAATCAACAAAGGCAATTACAGGGATGACTTCCTCATTTCATTGCTGAAATTAACTTTAATAGAGCATCCTCATGGGAAATACATTCCATCCCTTTAGGGCACTGCAGTGTTTTTTCACTCTTTCTGTATTCCAGCTCCCTATCATAAAATATTGTTTGTAAGTCCCCTGAGTGTCTGATTTGGTCACTGGTTTAGTTCAAACAGACACTCAGTGCTGGAGACTGGATTCTCAGTCCAGCCAGCTCTCACCTCAGGCCCCRCAATTCCTGCAAAGCACCCCTGACAAAGCCCTGAAACTGGGCAAATGTACAGAAAAAGTGCAAAGTGCTTTAAAATCAGTTACAACATGACCACCAGGGAGGGGCCAAAATGCAGTCCACAACACAGGAAGCCCTGGAGCCATGGAAATAACCATGAAGCTGCCAGCAATTTAATAGGATGARATTCTTCGTTTTGAACATGTGTAATATAGGCAGCTAAGGAAATTCACATGCTTACACCAACTCCTCTCTTTCCCACTCAGGTCACTTTACTATCAGACAACTTACCAGTTCCAGCCCTGCTTACTGGAAGGGGARTATCTGTCCATCAAAGCCGTGAGTTTCAGCAGTGCCAGTTTCTGTGTGCGGGCCAGCTGGGCGGCGGACTGGCCATCAGTCTGGAGGGAGAGGCTTTCCAAATTCATGCTCTCTTCCACAGACCAGTCCTTCCCAAGCCTACAGGATGAATACTGGTTAATCTTAATACCATTTCCATCATCCCTATTTTCTGCCTGCCTCAGTGAAGCACCTAGCACTCTAAATCACCTGCAGTTAGSTGCACTTAAACAAGGTGCTTCCCATCCAGGAGGTGCTCTGGCAATTCAAACAGTTTTGTGTYTCCCTGATTCCAAAAGTTTGAGTGCTCATGCAGGCTGGGAGTGTCCTGCTTTCAGCACAGGTACCAGAGTGCCTGTGGAGAGGTACCTGCCACCAGCAGAGCAGACCCTRCTACCTAGGACAGACTCAGGAATATTTTGTTCTGGCAAAGCAATCACATTTTGAGTGCACAGAATGAAAGGCAAACCTGAGGGTGGCTGACCTGTTAGAGTCTGGGATGTAGGTCAGGTGTGCAGAACCAATCTCCTTGCCCAGGCCACAGCTGCTCTCTCCCTCAGCATCCCCTGCTGCCTTATCTTCAGAGCCYTCTGCTTCAAGAGAGCTTTCTTTAGGGGAGGGTGGATACAAGGTCAAGTCACTGGCAAAGTCAGAGTCCACATCATCTGAGAGCTTCTCTGTCCACTGATCAACCAGCTTCTTGAGACCATGGACATCTGCTATGACACTGTTCAGCTCTGAGAAAACATCATCGTCACCAACTTGTGCAGCCTCCAGATCCTGCAGGTCCGTGTTGGGAATGTTGTCATACACACTGAGCCGGTTATCTCTGCCCGACAGGGGACTCCTGGAGGCTCTGGGCTCCTTGGAACTGCTYCTGCTCCGGCTCCTCCTGCACCCATGGAGACTCCCAGTCCTCCAGTTGACAGAAGAGCTCTCTGCTGGAGACAGGCAGCTATCTGTAAGCACAATGGGGAAAGTGCCAGGTTTATGGCCTTGTGGGATTTGAAACATCTGRTTCTTTTGCAATGACGTGTCATTTTTTAGGTTTTGCTGTGACAGATCATTCCCTAGCAAGAGCTTGCTAGAGTCCACGTGCTCTGCAAACATCCCTCTTCCTTCACAGGGGCTGCCTGCTTTTATCASAGGATTTGGAGCGCTCCCTGTGCTGCTATTTGCAGACTGATTGCTGCTATTGCAGCTCCGGGGAGAAAAGGAAGAATTGCTCTTTGTTCGGATGCCTGAGAGGTCAGAAATATTTACACAGTTCAGCATCTTCATCTTTTCTTCTGTAAGTCCTTCCAGAAGAACAGGTTCACTTATTATGGGTTTGGCCTTTGAGTGGCCACTCCTTAAGTTGCCCCTTAAGTGCAGCTTCTCCATTTTCTTCAGAAGGCTCTTCCTCTTTTTAGCTGGGGACTTATCCAAAAGCTTCTCCTCACTGGTGATATTTAAAAATTCACTGGAGGGAGGAGAACAACTAAAAGCAGAGTCCAGTGAAGGTACCTTAACTGAGGAACACCTTGAGGAACTCGTGCTTGTTCCCACATCTTCAAAAGGTTTCTGGGAGTTAACAATGTCACTGTCAGCACTGCTGGTGCTGTGAMTCGAGGACACATCGTGCTTCTCACCATGATCCAGAAAGACACTGTCCTCCTTGTTGATGATTTTCAGTCTTGGGCTGCCTGGGGTGGAGGCACCAGCACCCTCCTCTSCTGCAAAACCCGTCAGGCTCTCGATGCGAGACCACCGCTGACTGCACCTCTCATATGCCCATCTGTTACTTATTGCACAGGGTTCATCATCTTCAGAGTCATCACTCTTAGAAGGAGAAAAAAATAAAGCACAAACAGTTCAAGGGCAAAGTTTGGCAAATTTTAAATTTCAAACAAAAAAGTAACGTAAAAAGAAGACTGAAATTTTCTGCCAACCTCCAAAACCCCCAAGACCAACCTATGGAAATGTGGCCATTCAGTCACTGAAGGTGTGCCCTGAGTTAGYTGACAAACATGCTGACAAATTGCCTCCCAAGCATGCTGACAAATCTGGGAAAGGTGACAGATTTGATCCAAGGGTGAAAAATCCTGTTTTGTGGCAAACTTTAGGATTTTGAAGGTAATTGTGTTGGGTTTGCATGGCCTTTCCTAAAGCCAAACAAATCAAACACTCACACTTCTGTGACCAAAACTCATCCATTTTCAGGTAAAGAAGGGTTTGGCTGTGAGACTGTGGCATCATCAGTATCTGTGGCACTCTCTTGGGGCCCTCAGCCTTCTCTGCCACCTGCCCCAGGTKCTGTATTGCTGTATTGTCCCCATTCCAACAGAACACAGGGACAGCACAGAGAGAGAGGTATGAGAGCCACCTGTCTCTTCTCTGTGGGCTCTCCTRTCCCCTTCTTCCCTAACCACAGAGCAGAACTTTGCAAAACACAGACATTTTCCCAGAAGATGGCATTATTTTCTTGCCAGTCCTGAAGTTAATCCACCGTACCTCAGAGGCTTTGCAGACCTGGTGCTGCCCAGCCAGGCTGAGGCTTCCACTCTGRTTTAGCTGCAGCACTTCTTGTGGGAGAACACAAAGCACAGCTCAAGCCTACCCAGCTTCTATCAGCTGAACATTTGGATTGCCCATTTAATTCCTTTGTTTAATCAATAACTGAGAACATTCAGCACTTTAATAAGGTTGGAAAATACTTAAGAAAGCAGTAAGAGCCATGTTGAGATGGGGCTTTGGGGCAATTACTGGACAGTAGGGTGTGTTGGACCAAATTTTAGAAGTATTTCAAAAGCCACCCCTAATCTACYTTACAAAGGTTCAAACATTACTTAGTTTCAATCTCCATCCCTATGTTTTTCAATGTAAAATTCAAAWAAGAGTTTTACAGGATGGAATAAAATAGAAAGAAAAGTTCAGAAATTGCTAATCCTTCCTGCACCTTTTAGAACCAGGTTTTTGATACAATAGCTAAACACATCTTTAATGAGAACAGGAACTGTATGTTACAAACATACCCGTTTCCTATCACGGCTTATTTCCACTTTCATTGATGCACACTTGTTCAATGTGTTCAACCTTCTAGGGCATGAGAAAAAACACAGGAGTTTTAAATTTCAACTATTTTATTTCTTGAAAACAAACATTCACAAATTGGTTGTGATCTTCTGCCACAGAGTCTTCATCATTGGTGTCAAAGACTGACATTCTGTTGGAGGCTCACCAAATATTGGTCCCCAAAACCAGCATCAATAACAACCCCAGATGTTCACACTTCCAGTTCTGCCATCTTAAAACTAGAGAAGACAACCATAATCAATCATTTCATTTGAAAAGATCATATTGTTAAACTTGCTGATTCTGAAAAACTCCCTATTGATTTAATATTTTGAAAATAAATATGTATGGACTCCTTGAAAAAAAATTTTTAAGTCAAGGCATTAACCTGTACTCCTGGAAGGACTTCATTATCTATAATTTAAATTAAAGCTTGTGGAATCAATCAGGTCCCAAACTAAAGTCCATCACTCAATTGTCAAACAATAGGTGGCATCAACAGGGGGCACACAGAGAGTCTCCAAGGAACACTCAGAACAGAAGTCATACCAAGAAACAAAATATTCCCCAAGTTCTCTGACATCTGCTGTGCTTTAGAGAGGTGAATGTAAACAACTCCTCTGGGTGCTCTGGTACAGGCAGRATTTGAATTCAGGCAACCTGACACGTCACAAAAGGACCAGAACACTTTGCCAGGAGAGGAAATTTCCAGCCCCTTGAGTGTTAGAAGTCATGATTTCTGCTARAGAAATTCTGCTACACGATTGCACAAGTGAGGCAGAAACCTCACACAATCCTGACTCCTCCATGGGGAAATTCCCATGGCCATGAGTCTGACTTGGCACTGACAATGCAGGTTCACCCGTGTGCTCTGAACAGCTGTGGCAAAGCAGTAACTGCAAATCAGTASCTTTGCTTCTCACTCAAACAATGTTCAGGAAAACCAAACAGAGCTCATGCAGATAATTTTTTCTGTCTATCTGCTGGAACAGAAGTTGGAGGAAGTTCCTGCACTCCATTGTACATGATCCTAGAGAGCAGCCTGCCATGCTTGCAGGGAACTGGCTATTTTTTATCAGCTTGCAGACATTTCCCATTACAAAAAAAAAAAAGATATCTAATGCTCAGTGTAACACTCCTGAGAGCCTGGCTGAAGAAGAAGAGCAGACATGTGGTTACCCTACCTTTTAATTCCAAAATCAACCCACTTCAGTGGCACTAAACTAYGTTCTTAAATGATTTCCTTCAGTCACAGCACTGGTGACTTTGTTAGTCTGACAAAAGCAAAGGCATGAAAAGATGAATGACAAATAACTGTGGGGCCTGGGGGTATGAGAGACGATTCACARTTAATGTTTACCTGAAGAGTGATTCAATCGCATCTCCATCTAAAAATTCATGATCTCTCCTTACAGTTTTTACATCAATGGGGAACTGCATATCTGTGGACAAAGAAGTTGAATCTGAAATCTGACTTTTAATTGCAAAGACTTGCAACTTTGCAAGCTGTTTATCACAAGTGAAATGAAGTAAATTCCATTTCTGTATCTGTACATTCATGCAAACATCCTTCCAGCAAGTGGGGATCAGGTCCTTAGAGCAAGTGGGGGAATAAATGCAGGGATCTGTGTGCTGCTGCTTTTACAGGTGGAAAAGCATTCCTGCATTTCCAGGAGCTTGCAGTGACCAAGTGCCATAGAGAAGACACACAAAATAACCTTTAGACTTGCTTTGGTTCTCTGCACCTTCTGCCTTCAATACCATATAAAGCTGGGATTATTTTACATTTTGCCATCCACTCTTGGAGCTGTAGTGAGCCTGACACATTATGCTGGGCTGGAAGCTGAAGAGTTCAGTGTTTCAAATCCTGAGATTCAGCCTTTCAGATGAGGGAACCACCAAGATCCATATGTATTTTCTTAGCTTATTTTATAAGCTTAATTTTCCTAGCCAGGTCAGGACACTGCATAAACAGCAAGGTAATGCAGAGGATTCATTTTCCAAAGCATGGAAATGCACATTTTCAACAAACAGCTTATAGAATAAAATCTGCTCTAGTAGGACAGGAAGCATTTCCAGGCACAGCAGGTTTCATGAAATACAGCTTTCAAATCCAGCCCTATGACTTGGCTTCAAATTTTCAATTTTGCAGTGAGCGGGGGAGGTGGGAATGAGAGTAGCTAATGTTGCTYTTTTAACTGCAGTTCTTTGATAAAACCTTTCATAAAAATAGATTAGCTTTTGTTATTTTCAATRTTTGTAAMAATAAACATATTTTAAAGAAGAACRGTTTTAAGGTRTATGCACAAGTGTGGCCTGAAAAATCATACAAGTTCTCAGCAAATCCATACCTCCTCTAAGAAATAAGCACTCTTTGTAGTTTTAGCCACATGAAAACATGCTGAGATTGCATTTTTTGACTGGCTGGCTGCTGCTGAGTATTTCTTCTAAACACTTATGATTGCAAGATGATTTTTCCAACATTCTTTTTCAAAACACCAATAAAGCAATCCCACTCAGATCACAGGCTGGAGAGCCTCAGAGGAGTTTTGGTTGCAATCAGTGGTTGGAAACAKCACTTCCAGCACTCCAAGAAAAAATTATAAGCGACTAAAAATAACAAAAGCAGAAATTTGACTGAGTTACAGTCTAATAATAGGAAAAGAAAGCTAAGGAAGATTTAGTCCTTTATAGAATTCTACTGATTCCCTGCTGAGTTGTCTCTTCTGCAAGAAAACGTACCAAGCCACTGTTTTTCTACAGGTTTGTACGAAGATATAACAGAATTTAGAAGTGCTTCCACCAAAAATGTCAGGTTCTGAAATATATTATTTATGTGAACAATTCCACGTGAATTCAGCATCAGCTGCTTGACAAGTCTTTGTGATCATACCTTCAAACAGCTGAGCATACTGGGGAAATCCAGCAGCTCTCAGCCAGTCGCAGGCTTCCCTGGCTTCAATTTCTGCAATGAGAACACACAATTGTTCATGGACAGTGCTCACCAGAGTTGGTGCTTTCATAGGGTGAGCTAAATTCACCTGGCACATCCTCTGAAAATCTTGTATGTTAATGTTTCGTAGAAGATTGCTAAAAAGGAATAAATCATTGAATCCAGTGCATTTCCATGCACGTAGCTCTGCAATAGTCACTCCACCACAGGATGGATAAGCAAACACAGGAGAGAACTGATATGAGCACATGCTTGGCATGTCACACATGGGTGTAAATCAGCTGGGGGCAGTGGAGGATCTGCCACAAGTGGAAAAGAGCCACCAGAGCGGGGTGTAGGACACACATCTGTGCCCATGCACAGCAAAGCCCGTCCGCGCATTCCAGCGCTGAGAGATGGTGATAAGACACAAACAAATCCTATAAATAAACTTAAAATGCTCTCACAACTTTAATAACACTGGACACAGCCTAAGCATTCCCAGAACAAGAGTTCTCAGGAGTACCTGTTGCTAGGGCCTATCAATATTTATTTCCTTGCCAACTACCTCCGCAGCTTGGCAGCCACTGCAGCCCCGCWGATGTCGRGAGCTCAGCRCTCACTTTGTGACCATCACTGAAGGCCCATGGCCAGCACAGAAACATTCCCACAGCAGCAGAGCACAGTGCAGCCTCACAGAACCACGGAGCACCAGACTGCTCAAAAACACCAGCAGGTCAGTGTGAGTACATGCCTTCAGGCTGCAATCTCTGCCAGCACTGGAAATGCCTGGGTCTGTGCAAGAGGAGAGGATTCCCACAGCCACTTTCATGCACCTCAGCTTACGGTACAACAGACACCAGCCTAAAGGCAAAGACTTCTTTGAAAGGAACATTTTTGAGCTACCTTAAAATCCAGCTTGCTCAGTGGAAAGGAATGTTTTTAAAGCACCTTAAAGTGTAGCTTGATAGACCAGAGGAACAGAGCTGTTCCTTAAAACTATTTTCTTTACACATACACTCACAGATCAGGATTCCAAGGCACTTCACATACATACCTGCTCAAATTCGCTGCTTGCTTTGGTCAGACCTCTAAGTTGTATGTCATCAGTGCAACAGACTGAAGACACCAAAAAAACGCACAACTTCCATGATTCTTTTATTCTACWTTCAAACTTCAAATTGTTTCCATTATCACTTGATCAAATTGGACAATGCCACTCTAACAGGCTTCCCTGCACAAAACTGTATGGTTTTTCATCTGAGAATGAAGTGATAGCACAGGAACTGCAGGATCTTTTTACACAAAACAGATGCAWGAATCTTTTTCTTTTTTCACACTGCAGAACAGAAACTAATTTCTTCTACAATAGCCTATATACACTATGCCTGTATTTATTGCTATACTTAGCGCCATAATTTATCATAATCTTTACCACAACACAGCACTTACTGAATACCAAGAGAGGAGACAAAAAAAAGACAAGTACTGTACTCACAGAGCAGAAAAAGGAAAGAAAAGCTATTTGTAGAAAAGAGCCAGGAGGATGACCAGTCTAACACCAAGTCTTCACAAAGACAATGTGATTTTCACTTAGAAAATCCCAGTAGATTCACTCAGCCATCTCAGATGTGGAGAAACTGAAGGTGTCCTCATTCCAGACCCCAGCCTGCTCAGCCAGAGCCTGTGCACAGCAATCCTGAGCTCAGACAGGGATTGAGTAGGGGCTGAAGCTTCCCCAGTTCCCAACATGTTAAAAGCACAGCTCTATTTTTAGACCAAACTAAGTGATGCAA